GAGGGACGGGGCGACGATGGGGGAGGTTGTGCTGAGAGGAGGGTGTCTTATGCTCGGGTACCTCAAGGATGAGGTGGGGACCAAGAAGGCGATAAGGGATGATGGATGGTGCGTCGCTCCTCTTTTTTGAGAAATTCTTCGCTCGCCTTTGGTTTTCATATTTGATTTTGAGTTCAATTTATTGTTTTTTTTTATTTTTCATATTTGATTTTGAGTTCAATTTGTTGTTTTCACTTCTGATCTCGTTCTATGTTGGCAATAGCAATTCCTCTCTCTCTCTCTCTCTCTCTCTCTCTCTCTCTCTCTCATTTTGGGAACCGGCCGGTTTGGTTTCAAGTGGTTTTTACTCTGTTTCTGATCTTGTTACATGACAAGGAGTCATTTTTTGCCTCTGTTTTCAACTATTGATGCATTAGGTATTTTCTTTTTGGCTAAAACGTTAATTTGATTCGGCTAAAATATTCAAATTGGTCCCTATACTTATTTTTTTTATTAACGTAATTCCTATGCCACACCTCAGTTACAAACTAAGACCTTTTTTTAACATCGGTAAAAACTTTGTTTATGAACGTATTTCCCTCAATCACAAGGCAATAAATGTCCTTATTTTCAGATAGTATAATTAGATCGAGCATCTGCAATAAGCTCTATGGAATAATTTCAATAGTTAAAGTTAGTTGGATGTTGACACCCTTATGGAGCATTATTTTGGCTGATGACTAAGCTAAGGTTGAAAGTCAATTAGTGGGTGACTAACAAAGAATCAAATTTGCATAGAGATCACCACTACGAGGTAATATATACGAAAACAAGGCTATTTCAGAAAACCTTTTTTACTTTAGACCACTGTCATATACCTCCAATAACTTGAAAATATGTAATTTTAGCTTCTTACCAGGCATGATCCCGTAAAGATTTGATGTACTCACATTTTCAAAATTTGGAAGATGAATAAAAGTTTATTTCATTGACCAAAAAGAAAAAACTCGTAAAATATCAAAAACCCCTCCTCAAGTTTAGTGGTTATCAAAAAACCACATTTGACTTTATAATTTTATCAAAAAAAAATTCCCAAATAGCGTAAACGTACTTTTCACATAAGTTTGTAAAATTATGGGTTTTTGTTTCTTTTTTTTTATTTGGGGGTTGGGGGTATAAAGTATTGGATTTTCTGATAGCTCCTAAACTTGAAGTGTGCTTGTTTGTATTTTGAAAGTCACTGAGAGTCCAGATTTAAAGGGGATTTTCTGGAACTTAGCCTAAAAACAAACGTATGAACATATGTCTTTTCGGCCTAATCATAGTGGACTTACCATTAATATCATCTTATTTTTATTTAGAAGCATGTATGAATCTGAATATTTAATCATTAATTTGTTTATTAAGTTCCACTTACCTGATGCTTTTAATACCTGCTCAATTCATATTCCCACCAATAAGCAAATAAGTGCAGTTTGATCATTTTACATTTATTAGGATAACATTGTCTTTTTAATTTGTACTAGTGTGCATCCCATGCAAAACACAGCCCCCTACTTTTTTTTAAGCAATGCATTTTGAACTTGTCTCCATTTAAGTTTTAATGCATTTGATTTTAATTATTATATGCTTAAAATTAGAAATCATATCTACTCCTCTATACTTAAAGAGAGATCCAAATTTTTATTCATTTGATTTAAAAATCATATCACCTTCTCTATATTTAAAGAATGATTCAAGTGTTAATACATTTGATTTGCTTTAATGTTTATGATACAGTAAAATACTATAGCATGAATAGTAACTTCAAGTGGAGGGGCAAATATGATTTACTATTTATGTTACAGTAAATTACTGTAGTATAAATAGTAACTTCAAGTATGGAAGGACGGTATGGTATATTGTTTGTGCTACAGTATTTACTATAGCATAAACTTTTTGGATTCCCTTTTAAGTATAATGGAGTAGATTTAACAAAATATTTTAATACAAAATATTTTAATACAGAAATAAAAAGAACTAAGTTTACAAAGGATCTACAGACCAAGTTGAGAAAAACGTAAGTACGGGTCCAGTTCAAGTATGGAACCCCGTACAAGGACCAAAATAGCCTTTTAGCCTTTCTTTTTTTACAGAGAAATATATTTACAGAGAAGAGAATAATCTAAAAGTTTGCATCATGACCCTGTGACAGGTTCTACACTGGCGACGTCGGGGTTATGCACCCAGACGGCTACATAGAGATCCGCGACCGATCAAAAGATATCATCATCAGTGGCGGCGAGAACCTGAGCAGTGTCGAGGGTCGAGGTCGAGTCTATCCTTTACAGCCATCCATCGATCAATGAGGTTGCAGTCGTTGCTAGGGCGGACGAGTTCTGGGGAGAGACGCCATGCGCCTTCATCAGCTTAAAGGACGAGAAATATGCATCGGAGGCGGAGATTATTGGATGGTGCAGAGAGAGGATGCCTCATTTTATGGTGCCGAAGACGGTGGTTTTTCGGTCGGAGTTGCCGAAGACTTCGACTGGGAAGGTTCAGAAGCATGTGTTGAGGGAGATGGTTAAAAAGCTGGGGTCGATGGGGGGTGTCCAGGGCAGAGTGAGTCGGATGTAGAAAATGTCTCGTTTGCATAGATTGTTGGATCCATAATCCAACATTGGGCTAGTATGTGAGATTGTTATCCATTGTAAACTGTTAAATAAAAATAAACTCAATTTAAAGTGATCTAGACAGATATAAGTTTTAAAATATATCAGATAAGGATGTGGGCCTTTAATGTGTAGATAACGGGGTAATTTCTATTTTAATGATGGCCTAAAATAGAAAACACCAATTGGATAACTGTTTTGAGTTATCTCTATAAATAGTGGCTATGGTCCCCAGATCACACGTTCAATTCATTCCTATCTTTTGATATCTCATCATCAAAGAGAGAATAGAGAGAGATACAGAAACTGAAGGGAATTCTCTTGAATGAACGTGCAGATCTTGAAGGCTATACCGCACAAATCAAAAGATTATTCATGGAATCCGCATGGCTTCAGATTCAGGTACGCTTCCGCGCAATTCAGTATTTCGATTCTTTTTAATTCAGCACGTATATTGTGTTATATGTGATAGTTTTCACAATCAGAATTTAGGATCTAACATAGATATCTCATGAATCATGTGTAGTTTTAAAATTATTTCCATATCTTAGTATGTGCAAAGTTATCACTCCAATTATAAACCTTGAAAAGTACTCATAATCAACAAATCAACATTGATAGGCTAATTGTATGGATTTTGAGTGTGGCTTTTTTCCTTTCTTTCTTTCTGTTGTGCACTCTTCAGTTTTGTTTGGTTACAATTTTATTAATGAAACACAAGGGGTAGTTGCTCGCCTAGGGACGGATCTATGGTGGGGACGCTTGAGGCACGTGCCCTCACCCCTAGAGCAAACTTTTTAAAAACTAGTTTCAATTATAATTCGCAACCCCATAAGATTTTAACAGATGCCCCCAATGCCCAATCCCAAGCAGCTCAAACTTGAACTACCCAAGCCCGAGCCCAAGCCCAGTACTTGAAACTCCAACTTATTTCCTTAATCTACTCCTCTATACAAATTGGAAGAACTCAAGATTTATTATTCATGCTATAGAAGTATTTACTATAGAATTATTACTGTAGCAAATAGAAACCATATACTGCGGGAACTTTAGCAACACAAAAATTTAAAAACAGTATTGTTGCATTTATCGGGATTACTGTAGCAGAGAAAAAATATTATGTCTTACTTTGCATGGTGTTCACGACTAGTTTATATATCAATTTAAAGAAAATTTAAGAAAAATGTTACCAGATAATAGTATTTTAATATCTTTTAATAAGTTAATTTTACAAAGATATAACTACTTCAGTCTTCATAGTTGATTTTGTTTAAGAAAACCAATGTTATTTGGTGAACTAAAAAGAAAAAAATTACATTTGGCAACCATTTGGTGGAAGAATGGTTGAATGATTGTTTAATTACGTATATTAAGACAGACCTATTTTATGATATATAAAATAAGAAGACATATTTTATGGTATAGAAAAATAAGAAAATCATACAGAAATATTAAAACATAAGACCACACAGAGAGCGATTAGGAAGGATTGTTGTTGGAATTACTTGTAATTTTTTAGTTTTTGCAATGAAAATTAAAACAATCATGTATTGATACGAAATCTGTTCTTTATATATGATGAGAAGTCTGTGGTTTTCATAAAAGTATAATAAACTAACATGTATCATTTAAATGTATGACATATGTCATGATATATGTCATGTCAAAAATAGTTATGTGTCCTTCTATCTTACATTATAAAATTAAACCATTCATAATTAAAAAAATTCTCATAATCAAATATGTGGTAATCCTAACTAAATTATAACTATCTCTAAATGCATTAGATAATTCTAATAATAAAATATTTACTACTCCCAATAAAATTATAACTATCCATAATTATAAAACTCATAATAATATTCCTCCCTTATATATAAATTGGTTGTCTACTCCTAAAGTCAAAAAAGCATGATATGTGTTAAGAAATCTGTCACCCATCTATCTGATTAGATATTAACATCTCACATTCAATCCTATCTTCACCTAAGAACCCAAATCAAATTAAAATATTTCATAATTAAAAAAATTTAATAATAAAAACCATCATTTCTAATTCTCTTTACACAAAAGTTCTTATGAAACTAGAACTATTCATAATTTAAAAATTTTATTAATCAAAGCCCTCCTCCATATAAAAGGATTTTTCAAAGTTAGAAAATTATTAGCTGCCACACTCAAAATCTAAAAATTATAGACAACCTCCTAAAAAAATACAAACTAGCACCTGTGCTCCAAACTAGAAATAACTTCTTGATAACGATTAAAAAATTAGAATTTTGCAAACTCCAAATAAGCCCATAAATATTAGAATTTTGCAAACAACCCTAAAGATTAAAAAACTATGAATAAACTGTAGAATCTTTTAATTGATATAAATCAATACAAAATAGATCTAGGGTTTCTAATAAGAAATCAAGAATAAACCCTAGAAATATAATTAGAACCCATGATTAATTCAAAGAGATTAAAACAAGAATGAAGAGCGGAAGCAATACCTGAATCCATAATGATTAAAATTAGATTTAAATCTAACATAAACCCCTAAAAATCTACAATTACAAAAAAAACCTATGAGGAGTTCAAAATTTATAAATAGTATTCCTTAAATTTTATAAACAACCCTTAAAAACTTTACAATCAGCACTTTATATATTTTAAAAATTATAAATATTCCCTTAAAAATTTTACAAAAAACCTTTTGAAATTATTACGATGGCCCCATTAAATTTGTGAAAATAATACACACCCGGCTGAAAATTCTAAAATGTTACAAACATTTCAACAAATATTCTACGAACACCCTAAAATTTTGAAAGTTTCAAAGATTCAAACACCTTCAAGAAAAATATGAAAATTGTAAATAGACCCATAAAAGTTGCAAACAACCCATTTAGATTTAAAAAAATTTAAATAAACTACTGAGAAATCTAAGAACTATAAATAACACCACACCATTCAAGAAAATAATAAGTTGTCCCTTTTAAAATTTATAAATTATCAATAATTCCTAGAAAATCCAAAATTCACGAACATTATTTAAGAATTACAAATAGTCCCCTAAAGTTTTACAAATAAACTCCTAACTACTTTATAACAAGTCCCTTAGAAGTTTCAAAATTATAAATCTTCCCTTGAAAATTTACAACTAGCCTACTGAAAGTTTCTCAAGTAACAAACACTACGCTAAAGTTCAAAATATTACAAGTAACTCTTTAAAAGTTTTACAAGCAACCATTGATAGTTTTGTAATTACAAATAACCCTACAAGAACTTTACAAAATAGGTTCCCTGCCCCCCCCCCCCCAAAAAAAAAAAGTTTCAAAAGTTATAAACAACCCTAACACTTTGCAAACATGACCCCTTAAATTTTAAAATTACAAAGCTCCCCTAATTTAACATGTTATATTCTAGTATTATAATATATCATTGGTGTGGAGAATGCATTAGGTGGGAGGTTATAATGGTTATGAGAAGTCCTATACATCAATCCTAGGGGATTATGAAACTTTCTATTATCCATTTTGGGGTAATCTCATTTGTGTTCCAATTCCGAGCAAACCAAACATGAGCATTGATTGAAATATAAGACATTAAAGTCCAAGTTCTTTTTTAATTTCTGAAAATAATAATTTTTTATGCAGATTTGTAAAGGATATTTGTAATACCCAAAAAATTTCGATCTTGATTCAAATAAAGTTTATGCTATTTTAAATATTAAATTTTTACTTTTAAAAGAGTAATTATAAATTACCCGATTTTTCAAAATTTTCTATGATTTAAAAATCTGATTTTATAATAATTTTAGTAGTTTAATTTGTTAATTATAAATTAAATAATTTTATTAGTAAATAATAATAATAATAATAATAATAATAACTTTTAATATATGAAGTTTTATGATTTAAAAATCCAAATTTATATTTATTTAGCTAATTATAAATTAAATTATTTTTAATAAATTCTTGTTATTCATTTTGTAACTTTTAATTATTTTTATTATTCATTTTTGTTAAAATTAATAAATAAATAAATATATAATAGGAGATAAACCCCATAGCATCCTCCATGTCAGTATTCCTACCCCTCTGAGCTGTTCATGATTCACGCGGAGCCCAAAAGCTTAGACTACGGTTTTTCCTCGTTTCTCACCAATCAAATTTCTTGATTTTTATTAAAAAAATTCTATTTAAACCCTCGCCCTCTTCTCCTCTCGTGCTCACCCCTCTCTCTCTCTCTCTCTTCTCTCTCTCTCGATCAGCGCCGCCGAAAGCCTCCCCACCGTTCGAAACCCAGGCCTCTGTCGCGCTCCCCCGGCCTCTCGCTGACCCAGCGCCGCTTGGCGCCCGGCACGCCTCGTCGCCACAGCCCGCAAAAAAGCTCGCCGCCTCCGTCGAACCTCCGACCACGAACCCCTCACCCCCCGTCCGCTCTCGACCACGCCCTCAGCCGACTCGACCCCCCACCACCGCTGCCTATCCCCTGCCCTTGTCGCAGCTTCGCCACCGCCAACGAACGTCGACCGCCTCACCGCAGCCACGCCAGATTCCACAGCCCCCGCCCCGGCTCGCCGTACCTTAGGCCACAACCGCCGCCAGCTCGAAGCCCCTTTCGCCGGCCGTCACCCCGACCAGCCCCCTACAACGAGCTCGCCAGCTCTCCTTCCCCGAGCTCCGCCTCCACCAGCCCTTCACCGCTGCTGCTTGCAGAACCCATCGCCCGCTGTCCTCCGCCCACTCGTCGGCCGCGTCGCTTGTCGTCGACTCGACAGCCACCCAGCGACGTCGCTGACCCCGACATCGACCTCGTCATCCATCGTCCAGATTCGATCAGATTCACTCACCTCAGTGTCGTCGCATGCCATCTGTTCGATCGTATGCCAACGTACATCTAGTTGCAAAACCGCCATCCGCTACGTCACCTCGATCGCCACACGCCGCGTCCGCATCGGCATCGTAGCCTCATCATCAGACCCCACGGTCTCGTAGGCAAGATCCCTATTCTTGCTCAGTACAATTTTAGATTGATCACAGATTAATTATGCATAAGAACTCATTTCCCGAATAATTATTCGTTACAAATATAGAACTGTCGTGAACATATTGAACTGAGAACTATAACATATAGAACTTTCATAGACCTAATGGACTGTGAACAATAACGTATGACCATTCACGTTGTAATACATATATTGTGATGACCTGCACGGATTTATTTGACGAATGATATTGAAAAGTACTAAAAATAATATTGTGATAATAGATACAGTAAAGATAAAATAAAATAAAATTATTTTAGAATAATTTATAATTTTAAAGAATTTATTTGACAAAATAATCATTTTAAAGTAATTATAATAAATTAATAGAATTTATTTGACAAAAGAATTATTTTAGAATAATTATAAATAATTTAAAAGAATTTATTTTAGAATAAGAATCAATTTAGAATAATTCTAATAATTTAAGAGAGTTTTATAAAAGGAATTATTTTAGAACATTTATAAATAATTTTAAAGGATTTATTTTAGAAAGGGATTATTATGTATTATTCATGATTTAGGTTTCTTAATTTTAATTATGTGATATGCTATGATATTGTTGTATATGATTAGTTGCATTTATTACTCTTTGTTATGTTTGAGAACCGTTAGAAATTCATGACTAGTGTAGTCTGGTGTGTCATGTTTAAGACTTAGAAACCTGTGTGTATGTTAACTTAGAAAAACAAAAGAGTTGGGGTGGGAAAGTCATGGTTCATGTGATCGGATAAGGCTGTTGATGTATCTTCCAGGCTCGCGCCAGTGGTTGGTGTCGCCACTGGGGTTGGTTTGTAGGGCTAAAGTGAAGTGTGTACATCACTTTGGTCAGTGGGAAATTTATTTCGTCACCCGGGTTCTGTTTGAAGTTCGGACCAGGCAGAAAACGGATTGCGTGTAGTCCTCTAGGCCGCATGTGTAGCGGGATTGGATACACATAGAGGATTTGTGAACAGTCAGTTATCCAATGATATGAACGTTGACTCTGTGTGAGATATGTATCAGTGACATGTTATAGAATAGCTAGTAGTATGACCTCGTTACCCGATCGATTTTGGATTCTTCTGATTATTATATTCTAGTGGTTGATTTTCATTTAGATTAATACTTTTATTATTATTATTGTTCTTGCATTGGTCGCTCGACCGTTTCTACTTTCCTTGTGGGATCTTGCCATGTGCTATACACGCTGACGTACACCTATTTTCTCTGGTATACGTCAGATTTAGAGGATGGACATGTCTAGCATGATGATGCATTAGAGCAGGAGTATGCCTAGCCGGAGTGTCTTCCACGTGGAAGAGAAGAACAGACGGAAGCTTAGTCTTTTCTTTTACGTAGTCACTGATGGACACTAGATTACTTATGTAGTACCTTATCCTTTAGTCTTTCGAGGGACTTAGTTATTTTTACAGTACTTCCTTCTTATTTTGTTGGACTATGTATTTTATTATTTTAGTTGGACTGTTTTGTAATAAGGGCATGTTTGACCCAAACTTTGTGTCTCAGATGATATTCTATTTGTGATATGTCTCTTTTTTATTCTGAGTTGTTCATTATATTCTCGCTACTGTGATCGGGGATCTGTGCCGTTGCATTTATTTCTTGACGCTTAGCGTATTAGGTTGAGGAAGAATGTTTAATTTTATTTATTCTCCTCAATCTAATACGTCGCGGGCTTGCTCGCGTCTCGGTTCCTTGGTATTTTGGAAAGCTGGGCGTGACAGGTTTTAGTGGTGGCTCATGCAGGTCCCGATCCCGAGTTCCCACCAGTGAAAATATAATGAATAATTTAGACACATATCATATTTCATCTGTAAGACTATACTTAGCCCTTATCCTAGTATTTTGAAAAAATATATATTTTTGTCCCTATCTTACTCAATTTCGATTTGATTTTGACTTGATTTTCTTAGTCATCCTACAATAATTTTGTTCCTCATTGCCTTCCCTTTAGAACCATGGTAGGTGCACGTAACAATGGTAACCCGTCCAGTAGTAATGTCCCGCCTCCCGAAGTGGACCCGCGCTAACTTTTAGCAATGATTCAGGGACTGGCGACGAATTAGCAGCATTTGGCTGGGCACTTGCAACAGGAGCCTCACCAGCCTCCCCCTCGTACAGAACCTGGTGTTAGGGAGTTCTGGTATATGCGACCTCCTTCTTTCTCAGGTGCCGAAGGACCTCTAGTAGCAGAAGAGTTCCTGAAGATTACCGAGACTATCCTTACGGTGACCCGCATTGCCCCTGCAGAGTGGGTGGACCTTATGGATGACCAGCTCACTGATACGGCTCGAATCTGGTGGGCTGCTGAGAAGACACACCTGGAGAGGCCGATTCTGTGGGAAACGTTCACGGAACGCTTCAATAGGAAGTATTTTCCATAGTCAGCCCGGGATGAGCTTCTGCATAGATTTGTTGAGCTCAAGCAGGGAGGACGAACAGTTGATGAATATGAAGCTGAGTTCTCTTCTCTTAGTCGGTATGCTCCCCATCTGGTTACCGACCCGACTATTAGGAAGCATCAGTTCCAAAAGGGTCTGGACAAATATATCAGGTTGGCTCTGGCTGGTAGAGCACTTATGACTCACGACGCCGTACTGGATGCAGCGCGTGAGATCAAGAGTGTTCAGAAGGAACCAGAAGATCCACATGTGGTTCAGAGTAGGACACCAGTAGCTCCATCCCGAAATGTCGAGCGTCCCCCTCTGAGGCAGCAGTAGGCTCCGCAGAGGTAGCAGTTTTCCCAACGACAACCACTTCATCAAGGCCACCCTTATCAGCGTCCTGGAGTGCAGACTCGTGGCCAGCCTTCGGTGAAGTGTTCCTATTGTAGCCACGCTGGGCATAGTCAGCAGGAGTGTCCTAGGCGTCTTCATCTGTGCTTCAACTGTGGGTCCCCCGGTCATGTCAGTCGAGACTGTCCACAACGACAGCAGGCCCGCTTGCCCCCACCTCCAGTCCGGGCAGCTCTTCCATCAGTCGAGACTGTCCACAACGACAGCAGGCCCGCTTGCCCCCACCTCCAGTCCGGGCAGCTCTTCCAGCTCCACCTCGACCTGCTCCAGTAACACCAGCTCAGCAAGGACCCTATCCCCGAGCAGGGCCTCTACTTCCTCAGAAGCAGTTTTATCAGCAAGCACAGGGGCAGCAACCTCCATGTCAAATATTCATGATGTCAGCTATGGAAGCTGAGGCGAACGATCAGGTTATCACTGGTAAGAATTCTTCATTCTTAGTTTTCCTTGCATATGAATTTTTCCCTATTTAGCATTACCTGATGATATCATGATAGGATTTGTTTATGAGTGCTAAGTTTAGTTACATTTACCACCTCCTATAATAGGCAAGGTTCTCGTTTCTTTCGTTCCTGCATTATCACTCTTTGACTCTGGGGGCTTCCCATTGTTTCTTGTCTCGTCGATTTGCGAGTACCCACTCACTTCCTATAACTCCTCTAACTACGGGCTGGAATATCAACACTGGCAGTGGTGTCTTAGTAGCATCCGGTGCTTATGAAGCATGTCCAGTGGTCATCTGCGAAAGAGAACTCTTTGCAGATTTTCTGATGATTGATTTGCCGAGCTTTGATGCAGTATTTGGAATGGAATGGTTGGGGTCATTCTTTGCCACCATCGATTGTCGCCATAGAAGTGTGGTATTTGAGATACCGGATCACCCGATGTTTGAATTTCTCAGTGGCAGTACATCGGTTGGACCGGTAGAGTACAGAGCTAGACCAAAGAAGGCGATATTAACTGCCATGCAGGTGGAACCTGAGAAGGCAATTGTAGTTTGGGAATTTGAGGATGTGTTTCCTGATGACATTTACGGGTTGCTACCGGACCGAGCGATTGAGTTTTCCATAGAACTGAAGCCTGGAACTGCTCCGATCTCCAAGACCCCTTATCGTATGCCTCCGGCTGAGTTGGCCGAGCTTTGAACTCAGTTAGATGATCTTTTGCAGAGAGGCTTGATACGACCCAGTGTATCGGCCTGGGGAGCACCTGTATTTCTTGTGAATAAGAAGGATGGATCCAAGGGGATGTGCATTGACTACCGGGAGTTGAATGTTGTGACAGTGAAGAATAAATACCCTCTTCCCCGTATCGATGATATATTTGACCAATTGGGAGGATCAAGAGTATTTTATAAGCTAGATCTGCGAAGTGGATATCACCAAGTGAAGGTCAAGGACTCTGATGTCCCCAAGACTGCGTTCCGGACGAGATATGGACATTACGAGTTCTTAGTGATGCCGTTTGGTGTGACTAATGCGCCAACGACATTTATGAACCTGATGAATCTGGTATTCTATGATGTGCTGGATAAGTTTGTAGAAGCCTTTATTGATGATATCCTAGTGTACTCTAAGAGTGAAGCAGAACATGCGGAGCATTTGCGGTACGTGCTGAAGACCTTGAGAGAGCATCGGCTATTCGCCAAGTATAGTAAATGTCAGTTCTGGCTAGACCGCATTGCATTTCTAGGACACGTGGTGTCAGGAGACGGCATATCTGTGGACCCGGATAAAGTAGCTGGTGTTAAGGATTGGCCTACCCCTAAGTCGGTGTCCGACATTAAGAGCTTCCTGGGATTAGCTGGATATTATCAGCGTTTCATCAAGGATTTCTCAAAGAATGCAGAACCGATGATGCGCCTTACGAGGAAGGATATTAAATTCGTCTGGTCCGACGCTTGTGAGCAGGCGTTTGAGGAGTTAAAGTATCGATTGATTTCGGCCCTAGTCCTGATGATACCGGATAAGAGCAGGAACTTTGAGGTGTTTTGCGACGCATCATGTAGAGGATTGGGATGCGTTCTTCAGCAATATGGTCATGTGGTAGCGTATGCTTCTCGTCAGCTGAAGAAGCATGAGCAGAATTACCCTACCCACGACCTAGAGTTGGCAGCTATGATTTTTTCTCTTAAGCTTTGGAGACATTATTTGTTGGGGGAGCAAGTGAAAGTGTTTACGGATCACAAGAGCTTGAAGTACATTTTTACTCAGAAGGAGCTCAACATGAGACAACGCAGATGGTTAGAGCTTATGGCAGATTATGATATTGACCTTCAGTACCACCCTGGCAAGGTCAATGTAATACCAGATGCTTTGAGCTGTTTGCCAGCAATCATGACCCTCACTACTCAATGGAGACTTCAGCATGAAGTGAGGGATATGAGTATAGAAGTTGTACTTCCAGGAGTTACCGCTTCTTTGATGAATCTTCAAGTTCAATCGACATTGGTCGAGCGAATCAAGGCTGCACAATCAGGTGACACATTTCTTCAGAAGTGCAGAGAGTTAGCATCGACTGGTCTTCGGTCGGAATTTGTTGTTCATGAGGACGGATCCTTACGATTTGGGAATCGTATCTGCGTACCAAAAGGAGATGTTCGAGAGGAATTATTACGGGAAACTCATAGCTCACCGTACTCTATTCACCCTGGAGGTACGAAGATGTACAAGGATCCGAAGCTAAACTTTTGGTGGCGTGGTATGAAGAGAGATGTGGCTCGTAGTGTGGCGAAGTGCCTTGTATGTCAGCAGGTGAAGGCAGAGCATCAGCGCATCGCAGGTCTATTACAGCCGTTGCCTATTCCGGAGTGGAAATGGCAACATGTCACCATGGACTTCGTTACTAGCTTACCTCGGAGCACTAGACAGAATGATGCTATTTGGGTGATCGTAGATTGATTAACCAAATCAGCTCACTTTATTCCATTCCGAGTAGGACAGTCAACGGAACATCTTGCTTAGAGATACATGGAGGAGATCGTACGATTGCACGGAGTTCCAGTATGCATCGTTTCAGATCGTGATACCTGATTTACCTCAGAATTCTGGAAGAGTTTGCAGGCAAGACTTAGGACCAATCTCAGTTTCAGCACAACTTATTATCCTCAGAACGATGGGCAATCGGAAAGGACCATTCAGATTTTAGAGGATATGCTTAGAGCATGTATGCTTGACTTTCACGGGTCGTGGGAAGATCACTTGCATTTGGTGGAGTTTTCATTTAACAATAGCTTCCAGGCTAGCATTGGAATGACTCCTTTCGCGGCATTATATGAGAGGAAGTGTCGCTCTCCTTTGAGTTGGATGATATTGGTGAACGAGAGATTTTTGGACCGGAGTTGATTGACAAGTCAGTTGATGCTGTCAGAATCATTCGGGAATGACTTCGCATAGCGCAGGACCGATTCAAGCATTGAGCGGATGCAAAGCGTCGACACTTGGAGTTTCAGCCAGGAGACCATGTGTTCCTAAAGATTTCCCCCAACCGAGGTAACATTCTCTTTGGAAGGCGTGGGAAGTTGAGTCCACGATATGTAGGATCTTTCGACGTATTAGAGAGAGTTGGAGAAGTGGCGTATCGACTTGCATTACCACCCATATTGGCTGGAGTGCATGATGTATTCCACATTTCTCAGTTGCGGAGATATGTCGGAGATCCGAGTCATATCGTAGATTTCTCGGAGATTGAGGTGCGACCTGATTTGACATACGAGAAACAACCTGTGGCGATTCTGGACCAAAGAGAGAAGACTCTCCGGAACAAAACCGTCATGCTTGTTCGTGTGATGTGGCACCCAGAGTCTCCTGGTGAGTCGACTTGGGAGACTGAGTCTGAAATGAGACAATGATACCCTCATCTGTTTCCTAAATCTTAGTTGTCACATCTTGTATCTTACCTTGTATCGTTCTTGTCTTACTTTCTCCCCTACTTATGAATATGCAGTTATTTTGAATCATTCTCTATATGTGTTGATCGGGTGAGTATCTCGTTCTATACAATCCTTGAGATCTTTCCGCATCACTCTCATTTTAATTCCGAGGACGGAATTTATTTTAAGGGAGGTAGAATGTAATAACCGAAATTTTTCGATCTTGATTCAAATAAAGTTTATGCTATTTTAAATATTAAATTTTTACTTTTAAAAGAGTAATTATAAATTACCTGATTTTTCTATATTTTCTATGATTTAAAAATCTGATTTTATAATAATTTTAGTAGTTTTGTTAATTATAAATTAAATAATTTTATTAGTAAAAATAATAATAATAATAACTTTTAATATATGAAGTTTTATGATTTAAAAATTCAAATTTATATTTATTTAGCTAATTATAAATTAAATTATTTTTAATAAATTCTTGTTATTCATTTTGTAACTTTTAATTATTTTTGTTATTCATTTTTGTTAAAATTAATAAATAAATAAATATACAATAGGAGATAAACCCCATAGCATCCTCCACGTCAGTATTCCTACCCCTCTGAAATGTTCATGATTCACGCGCAGCGAAAACTTAGACTACGCCGCTCCTGGTTTCTCACCAATCAAATCTTGATTTTTTATTAAAAAAATATATTTAAACCCTCACCCCTTTCTCATCTCGTGCTCACTTACTCTCCTTATCTCTCTCTCACAGGTTTAGTGGTGGCTTCATGCAGGTCCCGATCCGCGAGTTCCTCACCAGTGAAAATATAATGAGATTTAAATTTTAGACACATATCATATTTCATCTGTAAGACTATACTTAGCCCTATCCTAGTATTTTGAAAAAAAAAATATTTTGTCCTATCTTACTCATTCGATTTGAGTTTTTGACTTGATGTTTCTTTAAAGTCAATCCTATGACAATAATTTGTTCCTGCATTGCCTCCCGTTTAGAATGCCGCATGGTAGGTGCACCGTAACAATGGTAACCGCCAGTTAGTAATGTTCCCCCTCACCGAAGTGGACCGCGCATCAACTTTTAGCAATGAATTCAGGGGATTTCGGCGACGTAATTTAGCAGCATTTGGTGGGCACTTGAACAGGACCTCACCAGCCTCCCCTCTGGTACAGAACGCTCGGTGTTAGGTAGGTCTGGGTATAGTGCGCCTCCTTATCTTTCCAGGTGGCCCGAAGGACTCTCTATCGCAGAAGAGTTCCTGAAGATTACCGAGAACTATCCTTACGGTGACCCGCATTGCCCTGCAGAGTGGGTGACCGCTTTATGGTGGACGCAGTCTTTCAACTGATAACGGCTCGAATCTGGTGGCTGCTGAGTAAGACATCGACCTGGAGAGGCCTGATTCTGTGTGGAAACGTTCACTGGAACGCTTCAATAGGAAGTAAATTTTCCAATAGCAGCCCCGGGGATGAGCTTCCTGCATAGATTGTTGAGCTCAAGCAGGAGGGACAACAGTTGATGTAATATGAACTGAGTTCTCTTCTCTTAGTCGATGCTCCGCCATCTGGTTAGCCGACCCGACTATTAGGAAGCATGCATTCCCAAAAAGGGTCTGGACAAAGTATACAGTGTTGGCTCGTGGCTGGTAGAGCACTTATGATCTCACGCACGCCGTACTGGATGCAGGCGTGAGATCAAGAGTGTTCAGAAGGGAACCAGAAGATGCAATGTGGTTAGAGTAAGGACACCCAGTACTCCACCCCAAAATCGTCGAGGTCCCCTCTGAGGCAGCATAGGCTCCGCAGAGGACAGTTTCCCAAGCGAACAACCACTTCATCAAAGGCCACCCTTATCAGCGTCCTGGGTGGCAGACTCGTGCCAGCCTTCGGTGAATGTCCATTGGTAGACCACGCTGGGCATAGTCCAGCAGAAGATCCTAGCGTCTTCTCTGTGCTTCAAACTGTGGGTCCCCCGGTCATGTCATCGAGACTGTCCACAACGAACAGCAGCCCGCTTGCCCCCACTCCAGTCCGGGCAGCTCTTCCAGCTCCACCCGACCGGCTCCAGTAGTAACACCAGCTCAGCAAGGACCTATCCCGAGCAGGGCCTCAGACTTCCTCAGAAGCAGTTTTTATCAGGCAAGCACAGGGGCATGCAACCTCCATGTCAAATATTCATGATTCAGCTATGGAACTAGGCGAACGAATTACAAGGTTAATCAACTGGTAAGAATTCTCATTCATAGTTTTCCTTGCAAT